TCAAGAACTAATCAAGAATAAACCTATTGTTAATAACTAGCAAACAACTTGAGGTTTGTAACCTATCGTGTTGGCATATTCTTATTTTTCATGCCCATTCCAGTTGGTTGACTATGCATGTGAGTTCTATGAGTTCTCAGTTGTTTGCATAACAACCTGGAAGAAATGGTAAGCCCTTGTGCTGCCAGGTGGCAAGAAATTAAGATTGAACAAGTACAGTCCATATGAGTTTGGATTTGTAAACTAACCTTGTCTTAAGGTTATGGTTATGACAAATTCACATGGATAGGAACACATACACCATTAAAAAATCTGAGGGTCATAAGGTTTCTCTCCAATTCATGAAACTGATTGTGAGGAAACGCTTTCACTAAGTAGATTTTAAGGAGATAGTATTTGTGATATTTGCATTCTCAAATTCGATTATGATTACGACATCCCTCTTCATAGTTCGAATTGTGAGAAATGGCAAAAGGCCTAAACATTTAAGACTTATTGATGTAAGTTCTAAAATTGTTTAGACACACATATGAGCTATCTAAGGAAAGGTGTATGACTTTGAGAAGCTTAGATAAAGACTTATCGAAGCATCTCGTGTCAGAAATCTGAACTTTGGTAAGAAAGTCAATAAGTATTGATTTCTAGAAGTCCAGCTGATTTTGGATACATGTCAAAGCTAGTGGGAGCATAAGTGTTATGCCAGTAAGATAATAATTATTATGCTAGTGGGAGCATAATTATTATGGTAAGTGTTGCAAGTTAGAAATGTTAATTATAGAAAACAAGGCTTTCAATTCGCAAAGTTGCAGGGTTTGAAAAAGTTGTTTTGCTGTGATTAAGGGAGAGGAACTTATACTTCATTTTTCAATTCTAAAAGCTTAGATTGAGTTTTTTTTAATCAAATTTAGTCAAAGACATATATGAATGTTGTGTTGAAAAGATTCGACATAAGTAAATTCTATATATTTAATCAAATACATATATGAATGTTGTGTTGAAAAGATTCGACATAAGGAAATTCTATATATGGAAATGATAATTGCATTCTCAAAATTCGATTATGAGTACGACATCCCTCTTCATAGTTCGAATTGTGAGAACATGGCAAATAGAAATATTTATAGCAAAAGACTGATCAAGTATCATGTCTTTATGTAAGACATTATGAATCGTGTCCTATATGCTTCGGATATAGGGTCGATTGTGTATGCTATAATATTCATGTGTTCTAATTTTCCAAAGGCTTAGGGCATTAAGAGGGAAAAAAAGACTAGAACCGGACATGACTAAAGTTATTAAATAACTACTAAGAACAATCCAAGGTTCGCCAAAGAATGGTTTCTTATGGAGAGTTGGAAGTATAGTAAGGGATGGACCATATTGACATTATTATGAATAGAAAGGATTCTATTAACAATGAGTTGTCATATGGCAAATATTGAAATGTTTCCATAATGGGAGTTGGATATTAAGAATCTATGAGTAAGTTAGAAACTTTTGTGCAAAGAAGGATGTTCAAAGGAATGTACTTTGAATTTGAGACTTCGTCTCCATGGAATTGTCTTGTAACAATCTCTAAAGGAATACTTTGTAATACCGTTAGTCAAGTCTCTGTGACTTTTGGTACCTAGACATTACAAAAGGAATCTTTGCATAATAGTTTGGAACTAACACATTCTAATAATGGCAAGAATTTGGTATTCTTACACTTAAAGATCGGGAATTGTGAAATGAGTTTAATTGGGAAACAAGTTGATCTATTTCACAAAGTAAGGACCATAGGTAAACATAGTGTGCATGCTTGGAGCATGGGATAACTATTGTTTTAATTTGAGTATTAAGTTGATCAATAGAAACATTATACAATGAATAATGAGTAATTAATATGGTGATTAAATAAAAGGTGTTTTATTTACGCTCACAAGTTTTGGGGCCATATAGGATTAGTATTATTCTGATGTTTCATTTTGCATGTTTTGACTTCCAGAATAATAAAATCATGATTATTATTATTATTATTCAAACTATCCACAGTCGATCATACGTTGGAAGTAAGTATGAAATAAGACTGTCATGAGTTGGCTTGTAAGATTGTCTAAGGAGTTAGGCATAGCAACATGTTTGCTACACCATTCATGAGTGCTCCTGAAATAAGTTGCTCCTGAAATAAGATTTGAGTATTGGATTCAACCCGCGCTCACCTGAATTACTTCATGGAATTTATCAAGAGTAATTGTGAGATGATAATATCATATAATCTTCAAACCTAGATATATGAGTTGTTGACTATGAGTTAGTCATGCATTGATGGAACGAAAACGCATCAGTAACTTATTGTTATAAAACGTGTCGTTGTGAATAATTTAATGAGTAGTTAGTACAAGAATATAATGTCGAAGTTTAGTTGTTCCCTTTTATCCAAAGAGGATTAAAAGCGATATCTTGGGCCCCTCGATGATTCTGTTTTGACTATGTGTCGGGCCCGGTCAGAACTAAATTGATGTGTTCAGTTATGTTCTATGTCAGCCGAATCAGAAATCGGGAAAGAAACTATTGGACAATGAGTATAACGTTGTTCCATGTATTTTTCTAGCTGATATATTGAGAACAGAGGAGTATATGATCACTTATCTAAAGGATGCGTCACTGACTGGGTCAGAGTTGACAAAGGCTTTTGAAAGCTTACGATTGCTAAGTCGGATCCTGAAGTGCATTGGAAGTAATAGTTATTAGACTTATCCAAGTGGGAGACTGTTTGGATTTGGTGTCTTAGCCCATAACTATAACTGGTATCTACTTGACCCGATTGTAGCATGGTCCCTTTTTGGGTTGCCTTCACCAGTGCAATTTGATAGGAAGGTTTTTTTGAGAATAAGGTTATTTGTGATTTATTAATATATTACAAGTATAATATATTAATATTATTTAATTAGTATTGATCAAGAATTAATTTGGAATTAATTTTTTGATCAAAAGAGACTAATTAAATATATGGGGATCGATTATGTAAATCAATGATTCTTGTAATGTGGGCTAATGATCCTTGACTATATGGTTGGGCTAAACCAATAAGATAATCCCTGGATAGTCCATGGAGGTTAACCCATGGAGCATAAGAATGTGAAAAGTCATGGAGCATTAGGGTTTAACAAGTGTAACCCTAGTGTTTGCCACATTATAAATAGTGACCCCATAAGCCAAAATCGGCTACACCCTCTTTGGAGTCAAGTATCTTATTCTCCTAAAACCTCCTCTTGCATTTTGGTGTTTGTGAACCAATAGAGGCATCACACTTGAGGTGCTCAAGCTTTCAAAGGTCAAGAACTCTACTCTACTCAAGAGGTAAGCATCCAAACTATGTTTTATATTATATAGCTTTAATTGTATGCTAGTTTGGGAGAATTCTTTGGAAAAATAAAAATGCATGTATAATTAGAGAAAACATAGATCCAAAGCATTTAGGGTTGCATGTGCACCATATGAGTGTTATAGTGCTCAATACCCAACAAACATAACATGTATGGGTATCTTGGGGAAAACTTACTTGAGCTCGGCCAATTGCACACATCACACTCCTTGTTCTTTCTCAAAAATCTTAATTTTCAATTTTAGAAAAATTTATTTTTCTATTAAAAATCTTTCAAATCCTCGATTTGAGTCCAGACACCCCCGAAGGTGTGTCTGAATCCCTCAAACCAAGGCTCTGATACTAACTTGTAACATCGTAAAATTCATAGCCAAAAATTTCATTTTTAATTAAGTAAGTATAAAACCAGTAGTCTGAAACATCCATAGTGTTAACTCATTTCATAATCAAAATCCAGTATTTCAAATAATTAAACATGTCATAGAAAAGTATTATCAGAGTACAACTCCTAAACATATCATAATGCCGAAATCATAGTCTGATGCGCTGCGATCCTACCGGCTCCGTTCCTTTTGAAAACAAGTACATGGAACCAAAACTGTAAACCGTAAGCATGAAGCTTAGTGAGTTTCCCCATCATACCACACACATTACAAATAATATACTGTCAGACATATGTGGGTGCCCGACCTACCCTTTCGGTCTCTTTCAACCGGTAACTGCCTAGCATATCTGGGTGCTGGCCTACCCCTTCGGTCTCTTTCAACCGGTAACCGTTTAGCATATCTGGGTGTTGGCCTACCCCTTCGGTCTCTTTCAACTGGTAACCGGGTCCTATTTTATCCCTACCACTACCACATAATATCTTAGCATATACACATAAATCACATACTGCCTAGTATATATGGGTGTTGTCCTACCCCTCCGGTCTCTTTCAGTCGGTAACTGGGGACTATTTCACCCCTACCACTACTGCATAATAACATATCATAAACATACTACTAGGCATACCTTGGTACTGTCTACCCCTTCGGTCTCTTTCAACCTATAATCGGGGACTATTTCACCCCTCCTACCACTATCACATAATATCATAACAGACTAGCACATAAAGCATAACAGATAGTGGCATACCAGAAAATTATCACAAAGAGAATCATCTCTACTCTATACTCTCCTACTAGTGGGCTGACATTGGTGCCTTAGACCCACTCCTATAGGAAGGTAACTCACCTCATGCTGCTGAACTCCACTGCAAGAAATCCTTAGTTGTTGTCCTGGCAACTCTTCGAGCTATCAATACCGAAAGATCACCCAATTAGCAATTGGGTTCAATACCATGATCCATAATCAATACTTAGGTAAAATGACCATTTTACCTCTGGCCCACAAGATACTTAACTAAGGCCCAAGTCCAAAACTCCAAAATCCATAAAGGCCCACTAATGGCCCAATTTTCCAAATTGGGCCCAAAACCTGACATGGGCCTTTCCTAAAGCCCAATAACTTATTCCTAGTCTAAAATATATGTCCTTAGCTGATCCAACAAAAATTTGTGCACTTGTAGGCCCATAAGAAAGCCCAAAACCATTGGGCACACCAAGGCCCAATACAACCCTTGGCCCAAAAAGGCATGTCCAACCCAAAGTCCAAGACTGTAACATTCTCCTGACTAGAAAGCCCAACACATAAGGCCCAAACCCTAGCCTGCAGCCCAAACAAAAACAAGCCTGAAGGCCCACTGATTGACGAACGCGGGGTGTACCTCCTTTGTACGCTCATCGTACTAGACAATACAGATCGGGGCCTTAAGTTAGTATGTGGGGCGTACGTGAATCTACACGGGGCGTACACACTGTTTCCTCTAGACTCATATTAGAACATAATCTGTTAAGTCTTTTGCATCCAAACTTCCAGGGAACCTCAAATAAGTATCTTAATGCATAAAGTCGGCACCTTTATACATTTGCATGACTCAAAGGGACCCAATGACCAACTTAACCCAATAATACCCATCTAGAACATGCAAGAATGGTTTCTAGCCTCAAATATGGCAACTTTATGGACTTATAACCTCTGAAATGGTAAGAGTAGCAACTCAAAGCTCCTGGAGTGGTGTATATCCACTAGATCTTGCTCATGAGGCCAAAAAGGGACCAAAAACCCACATATTCATAAATAACAACATCTAGTGATCAAGCTCAGAACTTTTTACCTTCTTTGAGCTGAAAATGTAGCAAGAAGTCCAGATCCACAAGTCCTCCCTTAAACCACCACCTTATAATGATCTTTCACTTCTTGAAATGCACCCAAAAACCACCAAAATGCACCCACAAAGCTTACAACACTCTTGGATGAAGCTACCACTCGGAATTAGGGTTTAAGACACTGGGAATGAAAGAGAGGCGCACCCCCTTAGACTTAAGGTGCTAAAATAGTGAGCCAACCCTTCAAATTAGGGTTTTGAAGATCATGGACGTACGCTGGTCGTATTCCCTATACGCTGGGCGTACGTCTTTCGCATGCGTGTTTCACTTATTCAACACTATGTTGGGCGTACTCACTTGTTTGTCACCTTTGCATACATGGGCTGATTTGCCAAGTATCTCCATTAGGGACCAAAATTCCCAATAATTTTAAAGTGCCATAACTTCCTCATCCAAGGTCCGTTTCCAACGAACCTTATATCCATGAAAAGGTGGCGAGAAACCCTACGCCCCCAGAAACTTACTCAAGCCTTAAAACCTTTCGAACAAATCCCAAAACCCATAAAAGGACGGGATGTCAAATTACGATTACACCCTTGGCTTCCGAAGACACGATCAAATACTTGGACCACTTATACCATGGCAACTATATCTAAAATGGGCTAAATCCTTCCTTTACCGAAGCCTTAAGCCTCATGACAGCCGATGACTGGGTCGCAACCCCCAGCAACGAAGCAATCCGGAACCGGGTGTTACAGTGTCAATCATATTATAGTTCTTTATTTTATCAATTAATTCAATTTTTTTTATGAATTATAGTTGGCCGACATGACGCTAGAGTTTAAAGCATGACTTGATGCTTTAACAAGGTTTGTTTTAGAGAGGACTAGGCCAAAGCAAGTGGGGGCCACAGTTTTGATTGGACCTATTTTTGCACGTGTCACTCAGTCTTTTCTAGATGCTCTTAATAATTGTGCAGTGCCTACAATAACCTCCTCATGGTAGGTTAGTTTTCTATACTTTTTAGCTGATCTCTATGTGTCAATCTTTGATCATACAAAGCCACCTGAGGAAGTATGATTCATTATTTTCTGTTGTTTTCATATAAACCAATGTACAAGCCTTTATAAAATCTCCCCTCAAATCACTGTAGGCTGCAATGAGAGAAGCACATGAAGAGGCTATTCAAAAGGAGATGACCAATTTTGATGACATTGTAGTGGGATCTGGTCCTGCTAGACAAAAATACGAAAAAGGTTTTCATATGTTTTTGAAAAAGGCTTTTACGGTAATTTTCTTGTGCTTTACCTCCTTTATAAGATTTAATAATCAAAATTCTTGTTTAACCATTTGCTCTTGTTTTTACTGGTTATACAAAAAATATTTCAGGATCATAAAAAGAATGACTTATGTCTCAAACCAAATTGCCTTTAGTTGAGACACAACATGAACAATATGATCATCTTCAACAAAAAAAATATGAGGATGCTCAACAAAAGAACGTGAAGTTTTAACAGAAAAATATGGATGTTTAAGCAAAGTCTGAACAACTTGCACAAGCTTTGAGTGAACATGTCAAAAAATTTATTAATCAATGATAGAATATTATGTATCGAATAGCGTTTTATGTTAATTAGTAGCGAGTTCTGATTTTGAAATATGTATCTTTTGATGTATTAGATATTTATTTTAGTTTCTATAGAAATACTCTGTTACTTGTGATTTTATATCAATTGCATTTTTATAAATTGATATAAATAGCCAAATTGAATAGTCGAGCTTTATTGAATAATGGTATGGAACAATCGCTAAGGAAAGATTGTTATAGAAAAACCGCTATGAAATTTTCTACGGAATTGGTTACGGAAAAATTGCTATGAAATTTGCTATGAAAAAGTTGCTACAAAATTAGTTACGGAAAAATTGCTATAAAATTTGCTTCGGAAAAGTTGCTACGAAATTAGTTACAGAAAAGTTGCTATGAATTTTGCTATAGAAATTGCTATGAAATTTGCTACAGAAAAGTTGCTATGGATTACTTACGGAAAAATTGCTATGAAATTTGCTACGGAATTAGTTACGAAAAAATTTCTATATAATTTGCTACGGAAAAGTTGCTACGAAATTAGTTACAGAAAAATTGCTATGGAATTTGCTACAGAAATTGCTATGAAATTTGCTAAAGAAAAGTTGCTACAAAATTAGTTACGGAAAAAATGCTATGGAATTAGTTACGGAAAAATTGCTATCGAATTTGTTAGGGAAAAGTTGTTACAAAATTTGCTATGGAAACGTTGCTACAAAATTTGCTACGGAAATAGTGCTACGTATAAATTGGTATGGATTTTGCTACGAAAATGTTATGAAATTCAAATTGCAACGAAATAGATGTTGTAGAAAATGTCATAGCAAAATTACTATGAAATTATAATTTCGTAGCTAAACATTTGATAGAAAAAATATAGATTGGGTCTAATTGAAAATTTGTGTAACAAATTCCGTAATTATTTAACTTTAGCTATGAAATTTCAGTTTTTTGCAAATGAATTTTTCGGTAGATAAATGAAATTTTTTGCAACGTACGTTTCACAATTTTGGTCCATTTTCTTATAAATTTAATACATTATTCATAGATTTGTTTGTTGAAGACACCATATGTAATATGTTTGACTTGAATCGCTTCTTCTGACAGAAACATATGTATGTAAAAAGTTATGGTGGTCGTGTGGTGCACATGACAACTACCCCGACAATATAATTTCTGACCAAAAAACGGTGGCGTTTGAACTACTTCTTGCTGTTTGCAACTTGCAAGTTGCATGGTGGACGTTGATGGGTGCTTAGCTGTCTAGCTATTCACAGTATGACACGTGTATATCTGGAATACAAGTGGACCCACTAAATCGCAAGTTGGAGCCACAGTGGGCCCCACTTCAGATCTGCTTTCTAGATTTGTTTACTTTACATATTGGGGAAAATAAAAAAACTACCCATTTTTCCTAATTACTTATCAAAAAATAGCCATAAAAACCCACTTAGCCAAAAATAGTTCATAAAAGAGTAGTCAACTTTTGGTTGACTACGGTCAAATGAGGTTGACTACGGTCAACGCCCGTTGACTACTCTTTTCCCCTAATGGGCTACTGTTTCAAGGGGTCATTTACTCTTTCGTGGCCCATTAGCCCAAAGTATATAATGAATTTTTTTTTCAGATTGGGTCATTTTTCCTATTGTTTTCTTTTGTTTGGCTACGTTTTTCTCTCAATGGAACACCCGAAGAACAACCAGGTATGTTTACTTTTCTTAAAAATTTTACCGTGTTTGTGATTAGGAGTACGTTTTGTTTATGGGGATAAATTTTTTTTTGAAAAAAATTGAAAAAAAAATAGAAAACCGTAGGTTTCATATGAAACCTACGGTGTACAAGTACCCAATGCACTGTTTGTGCCGTGTGGACTTGTACACCGTAGGTTTCATATGAAATCGTACAGACGGTTTTTTTTTTCGATTTTCTTTTTAAAAAAAAATTGTATCAATAGAATCAGAATTGGATGTATTTTGTTGTGGTATAATTTTTTTTTTTTTAAAAAAAAGTGGAAACCGTAGGTTTTTTAGAAACCTACGGTGTACAAGTATTTACTGCACAGTTTGTGCAGTAAACACTTGTACACCGTAGGTTTCACAAAAAAACCGTTTTTTTTTAAATAAAAAAAATTTAATAGCCAATAAACATTTGTATCCCCTTGTATGTATCTTAGAAAAAAAAAAAAAAAAAAACGTAACTTTTTTTGAGAAAACCGTAGACTACGGTTTGGGAAACCGTAGGTTTCGAGAGGAAACCGTAGGTTTTAAAAAACATACGGTTTTGAATGTCAAAAATGAAAAAAAAAATTTATACAAAACGCGAAACAGTAGACGAAAAGACGAAACAGTAGGCGAATCTCGAAACCTACGGTTTCGTGGGCTATTTTTGGCCATTTGCTAATTTTTGGCTAAAATTTGATAATTACCCCCTTAATTTGGCTAGATTAGTAATTACCCCTTACATATTCTCCAAAGTTTGAGTATTTATTTTACGACAAAATTACAAAAATGGTCCCTGTGGTTTGCAAAAAGTAACAAAGTTAGTCCCTATTAATTTTTTTTGACGCAAATGGCCCCTGTGGTTTGCAAAACTTGCACAGACGGCCATTTTTACTAACGACATTAGTATTCAGCCGTTAGGGACTGAATTAGCAAGGGTATTTTCGTCTTTTCAAATATAAAGGGACTGGATTCGCAACTTTGGGTAAACCATAGGGACCATTTTTGTAATTCTATCTTAAAATGATAAGAATGATAAAAAATGAAGGGATGGGGAGTCGAACTTGGGACCTCCTTCCCCCCTCCTTACTCAGCCAAAGCTCTAACCAACTAGGCTAGAGCCAAACTTGTAATATAATTCCGAAAATTAATTATATTATATAAAAGCGTAAATAATTAATAATAAAAAAATTAATAAAATATTTAGAAAAAAAATTAATAAAACAAAATATATTTTTAGCGTATTGTAAAAAAATATTTTTTACAAAAAATTTACTTGTTTTTTTACGTATTTGTTTTACATAAAATATTTTTTAATGTATTTAAAAAAATACGTTTTCGTATACTATGTTATTACATTGCTATGATCCTAAAACATATTTTTTCGATTTCATATAAAAATACGTTTTTTCTTTCACATAGAAAAAAAAGTTTTTTTACGTATAAAATATGTTTTTAATATATTTAAAAAATACATTTTCGTATAAAATGTTTTTACGTAAAAACATTAAGAACGTGATAACATAATGTAAAAATATGTTTTAAGATTAAATCAAAACGACTTATATTTTTTACGTAAAGCAAACTAAAGAGTTAACATCGCGTAAAAATGCGTTTTTTTTTACGTAAAAATGCGTTTTTTTACGTAAAAATGCATTTTTTTCACGTAAAAATACATTTACGTAAAAATATATATATTACGTCAAGCAAACTAAAGACGTTTTTTTTACGTATGGGTGATTGGTCCCTCACCCATATAACATTTTTTTACATAAAAACGTTAACATGATCACATATTATATGAAAACGCATTTTTACGTAAAATATATAAGTTGTTTTGATTTGATCTTAAAACATATTTTTACGTTATGTTATCACGTTCTTAATGTTTTTACTTAAAAACTTTTTATACGAAAATGTATTTTTTAAATATATAAAAAACATATTTTATACGTAAAAAAACTTTTTTTTGTAACGCCCCGATTTTCAGGTATTGTTTAAATAAGGTTTTTGGGTTAAGCTCTACTCGACGAGTTGGTTGACCTACTCGTTGAGTAGCAGCGGGGCAGGATCGCGTGTTAAGTGACCTACTCGACGAGTCCATATTGGGACTCGATGAGTAGGAGCTGGCAGATGAAACCCTAAATCCCGAGGTTTGCACCCCTATTTAAAGGAACCTCAGCCTCCTTTGGCCTCTTTACAGTCTTTGAGAGCCCCTTAAAACCCTAATATGTGTGTGTGTGTGTGCCAATTGTGTGATTGAAGCTTGAAAAGAGAATCTTTGGAGGGAGAAGGCTTAGAGGAGAAGGAGATTGGAGCAAGTAGAGTGTGGAAATCAACTCTTATCTCAGTTATCATCTTCTGGAGGTAACCAAATCACCTTTTCCTTGTGAATCTCTTCTATTGGTTGAGTTTTAGGGTTTTGGTGAGACATTAAGTTGGAAAGATGAGCTATGGGCTAGATTTGAGATTGTGACTTCAGATCTGGACCCTCCTTGGATTCTATAAGCATAAAGTTACAGTCTTGGTCATGATTGAGGTCCCTTTTGAGCATAAAGTTCCATTAAGAACTTAAAATAGGCATTTAGAGCCTTTATAGCCATGCATGCACGTAAAGTTTGCAACTTTACGTGATAAGCATGCCCTAGAAGCCTGGATCTGTGATTTGGAGGCGCTGCATGGCTCAAAACAAGTCTGTATGGAAAAGGGACTGAATGGACTCGGCGAGTCGCAAGGTTGACTCGGCGAGTCACATGAAGATGGTCGTGGACTCGACGAGTTGGATGAACAACTCGGCGAGTCCGATGAAGATTACCATAAGACTCGACGAGTTAAAGAACAACTCGGCGAGTCGGATGAGTTTTCCCTAGGATATGTATGCGTGTGTATCCGTCGAGTTGCAAGGAGGGAACTCGACGGGTGACCTTAAAGTTGGAACGAGAATCGAAGCAACTCGACGAGTCACCCCGATGACTCGGCGAGTTGGATTGTGCTTCAAGGAACTCGGCGAGTAGCCGAGGGTACTCGGCGAGTTGGGGTCAACATGGACTGTTGACCTTGACTGAGGACTTTGACTATGACCAGGGGTTGACTGGTGGGTTATGGAGTACCTTATAAAGTTAAGGACTTATGAGTATATTGTACTATGGTCATAGGTGGTGGAGCCTGTGTCGAGTGATCCGAGAGTTGGAGTTTACCTTTCGAGTCGACATCTGCGAGGTGAGTTATCCTCACTATATCGATAGGGTCTGCGGCACCAAGGCCGACCCTTTAGTTGTTATTGTTATGGTATGCTACATATGGATTTGATCTGCTAGATCGGAATCAGGGTAGACAATATGTTATGCTTTTATGATCCGTAAGGATTGGTATGTTAGTGACCTGCTAGGTCGGTACTCTCGTTACGAGAGGATTCTATGATTGATGATCAATGTGACATATATGT